TGCTTCAGCCCATGACACCTCCTTGGTTCAGGCTTCCAGTGGCCCACCAAATAGAGTTCAAATGCTTTCCCTGGGCAAAGCACGCTCTTCCTTGTTCCCATGTACCTCTCCAGATTCCTACTCCCATGCCTACTGGCGACATGGTGCCCTGTACATGCATCTACTCTTTGTGTGTGTGTGTGCACGTATGTTTGCACTGAGGGATTGAATTTAGAGTTTCATAGTATCTGTTATTATCTGGAATTCTCTGTCTCTGTCTCTCTCTGTTTCTCTCTGAGAGTTGAACTCAGGGCCTTCCTACTGAGCTACATCTCAGCCCCTTTTTATTTTAATTTTTAAAAATTTTATTTTATTGGTACATTTTAGGTATACAATATAATGACATTCATCATTGGAAATTTGCACCTTTACATAATCTCTCCTGGATCTTATTTTTTTCCCCCCCTCCCCTGCCCTCCCTTCAACCCCTCCACCCCTCCCTGTTTACAAAGACTTTGTTTCATTTTTTATTTTCTCATATAATTCCATTCCCTTCTTTCCTTTTCCCCTACCCTTCCCACTTCCCCTTTGCCCCTTTTCTTCCTATTTCACATTATCAATTATACCTTTTAGTCCTTATTTACACTTACAGTTTCTCACACCAGGGAAACTATTCAGTATTTACACGTGTATCCTATTTATTTCACTTAAGAGTATTGCCTCAGTATGCATCCATTTAGCTATAAATGTCTCTAATTTCTCATTTTTTATGGCTGAGTGGTACTCCATTTTATAAAAAAACCATATTTTCTTTATCCAGTCTCCAGTCAATGGGCATTTAGGCTGTTTTAAAGGTTTAGCTATTATAAACTGTTCAGCCCCTTTTAAATTTGAGACATAGTTTAGCTAAGTTGCCCAAGCTGGGCTTGAACTTGCAGTCCTCCTACCTCAGTGTTCCAGAGTGCAGGGATTACAGGTGTGTACCACCATGCCTGGTTCCTTTGTCCTTCTTCACCTGGGAACATCTATCCCTCCTCAAGACCAGGACAATGTATAATACCACACTGAAACTCAATATTCTGTAAAATTAATAGGAACTAATAAAAAATATTTTTAAAAAGATGAGGACAAATGTCATTTCCTCTGTGAGAACTCTGCTGATTCCACTTGGAGTTAAGTATGTAGTCACTGCTTATTTTGTTTTGTTTTTTGAGACAAGGTGTTGATATGTAGCCAGCCTCAGAAGTACTTATTCCTATTTTTATTACAGTCTACATAATGCCATATTTCATATTTGTTTCTCTCATTGACATCTTCAGCCCTCAAAGAAGTGTAACTTATTTATTTCTTCATCCTAGTGCCTAGGTCAGTGTCTGGCACCTAATATGAACTATGGCATGGATGTGTGTGGGTCAATGAATTCCCTTTGTTTTCTTGCCAGATTGCTGGTTCTTTCTTACTTGGGTTCATTAAAAGTATTGTATTTTACAGCACTGATAATATAGAAAAAGCAAGACATTTTTGAGGCATAATAACTGGACAAATAGATAAATGTCGATGGTCCTCCTGGCCCCTCCTTAGCAGCCACTAAGCATCTACTATGTGTCAGTGACTTAATGCCAGGGACTAGTTTAATTCTTACATTTGCTCATTTAAGGCTCACACACACCCGTGAAGTGGTTTTTATTATTCCTTCCTCTTTTTTTGCGGTTGGGCTTCTTCCGTTTCTAGGGCCGTGCTACCTGAGCCAGCAGCTCTGAAGCGTGCCCCTTCCTGGCTACAGGCTTGGGTTTTCCTTCAAGGAGTTGGGTGCGCGGCCAGACCTAGGTGGGGAGAAGTCCACAGCGTCTGAACCGCCAGGGGGCGCGAGTAATTCAGCTTTTGGAAGAAGGGCGGGGCTGCCAGAGGGAGGATGAGTCAGAACCGTGCGTCTTCCAATCCGCACAGGCAGGCGGAATATCCTTCCTTTCCCTGAAGCACAGAGGACAGAGGGACAGATAATCCACCGAAGTCTTTCTATGGGCTAGGAATAAAACCGTAATGGGGAGTTTCACATACTGTTTCGTTTTACTGATGCTGCGATAGAGGCTTGCAGAAGTTAATTCACTTGCCCAAGGCCAGAGAATGACAAAGCTCTTAATGATTTTTGCTGGCCAACTGCCTTTTGCGTCCCCTAGCTGTGTACAGTGTAGACAAACCCTTAGCGGTGCAAACCAAGACCCTCCACTCTTCTGTTTATTTAAATCTAGTACTTCTTAAATCTCTAAGACTCAAGAATTTTCCTGCTCTCTGGAATCTTTTAGTTACTTGGAGCAGTACCTTCTGCCTATTGTCCCTTCCTACTGGGGACAACTGCTATGTACTGCCCAAAGGAATCGCAAGATGTCGCGCCTGTAAGGCTTGTTCCACCATCAGAGTATAAATTCTAGCTCTTAGCATGGTGTTTGACACACGGCACTTAATAAGCACGCATAGAATAAACAAGCGTCAGGCACAGCAAGTGTGCCCTCTTCAACCTAGCCTAGGGCTGCACAGAGCCAGCAGCAACAAATACCTGAGAAATAAGCAAATGAGGATTTAACAGTGTAACATTTCTATTTTGTAGCCAGCTGGGATTGCCAACTCCTTGAAGGCAAAGATGAGGAATGTGGGTGTGTGTATGTGGGGGAGGGAGGTAGAGGAAAGGAGGCACTGAGCGGGAGCAAAGCTTTCCCATGGCCAGAATAAGGCCCACATAGAGAATGAGGGAGCAGGAGATGCCAAGATCTGAGTTAGAGCAGAAGGAAAATGAGCCCTGAATGGAAGCCTTGTGTGTGGCCCTGTGGTGCTGACTCACCAAGACTCAGGAGAGGGAAAACATGCATGGGATGAAGAGGGGCCTGTGTGTGCTTTGTCACCACCCCCAAACCACCCTGCCACCCCGAATCCCTTTGGATCAGAGGTTTTCTGAGGATACTCTGTGTGCTCTGAGGCACCAACTGTCCTGGAGGGCTTTGATTTGAGGTGGGTGTGCGGCAGGCAAGAGAGGGCACTGCATGGAGGAAGATGGATTCGTTTTGGGAATGCAAAAGGCCATTCCATGGGGAGATGTGGGTTAGCAGTTGTGGTGGAAGAGAAGGCCAAGGAGGCATTGCTCCTCATTGAGCTGCCCCTCCTCCATGATAGGTCTCCCACTACCTCAGCAGCTATTATGTATAGTAGCTGCCCTCTTCCTATGGCGCCTTGCCCCCTCCCCTGTGTGACATCATGCCAAGATGGTTGCTCCCACCAAAGAACAAACCCTTCTTCCCAGCATGCCCCTGTTCCCACCTAGAAAGTAACCTAATACTCGCTCACCTCCTACCACCTAGTGACGTCCCAGGCTCCTCCATTCCCTAGTCACTACCTCACTCAACCCCGCCTCAGCCCCTACAAACCCTTCCACAGTCTCTATAAAAGACTCTCCCTGTCCCGGCCATATTGTTCTAATAAAGTCTTGTGGTGGGCTGGTCTGGTCTTGGTTTTCAGCCTTTTACCTGACACTCCACAGGTAGGTGTGGCAAGCCACAGAGGGGTAGATGCCCACACTCCATGGATGTAAGGCATCCTTATGAGGAAGAGCCTCCAGTAGAAAAGATCAACCATCCTTCTCACTCCCAACCTAACCCTAGCTGTCAAACCTGTTCAGCAGATGTTGAGGACAGGATTTTTGTGGCAACAAATGTGGCAGTTAGCCTGAGGCCTAGGCAGAAGACAAGGCTTGGAATTCAGGGCAGCCAGGTGACCAAGATCAAAGCCAGACCTTGTAGGGAGGCAGATGAGAGGAGGCAGGAGTGCCTGAGGGAGCAGCTGGAGTGGGGCTAGTGTCCCAGGTCAGGTTAGGGAGGAGCAGTCTGCTGAAGCAGAATGAGACAGCCCCACTGACTTGGAAGTTGAAACTCTGCTGTAAACTTGGGCAGGTCACTGCATTTCTTCTCACTAAAACCCAGTTCCTTCAGCGTCCTGTTCTAGCTGAAGATCTCAAAAGCTACCTAGCTAACCAGTGGATTCATACTTAGGTATATGACTGACAATAAGCTAATATTATGAGTGGCCCAAGTCTCTTATTGTTTGTAGTACGCATGCTGAGCATGTGCCCTAGCACTGAGCAACAACCCCAGCCCTTGTTACTGTTCTGAAAACTAGTGTGGCCAGCAGAAGAAATGTGGCCTTGAAAGTCACATGGATAAGGATTTGAATCCTAGCTGTGACTCTGAATTTCAGGCCTGTTCTGCTATAGGGCCTTGGGCAATTTATTGTGTCCCAGCAGGCTTTGTTTGCACTGGAGATGGAACCCTACCACTGAGCTATTCTAGCCCCAACCAACCTTTTTTAGTAGCTGTGTAGATTAAATGAAGTCACACATGTAAAATGCTTGATACAGAGCTTGGCACTATATAAACTCAGAAAAGTGCTCTCCCTCCTCCAGAAGACTTGTGAACCAAGGGAATAGAGCAGATGCTGGGATCCACACCGTAGGAGCAGGGTGGGCAGAGGGAGAAGCTGAGGTGCAAGTCTCAACAGAGGTCTCACCCAGTTGTACAGGGGGTTTTAAAGCTGGGGTAACCCTTCAGAGTTCTCCCTATTTGGGACAAGAGGGCCAATATAAATTTTGATCCATCTTGGGAAATGAGCTGTGCATGGCAGATGTGACTTTAGTCAAGTTGATTTTTCAGTTGAGGCAGCTCCTATAAGGGGCTATAGATGATGGACAGTTACCATCACCACTCCCTGCACCTAGGGAAATACATCATTTCTGAAGGGAAATGGTAGCACATCCTAGTGTCTGTCAGAGTTGTTTTCAAATGCAGGGCCTCACACATGCTTGGCAAACACTCTACCACTAAGCTGCATCCCTAGCCTGAGTAGGATTCTTGTCAGATTAAGTAGGTGACTTCCTAGGATGAGGCCTATCTTGATTTGACACTTCCCTGTAATTTTTCAGTGTCAAACATTTAGCAGTGGTGTGGACAGAGCCACAGCATACTTCTTGTCTCCTCTAGGCTCACAGCAAAACAAACACTGGCATGTGGTAGAGAAGAGCAGAAGCGCTTTTACATCCCTCCAAGTAAGTAAGTCACCTGCAGTGTCACAGAAGGACTGATTTGATTCTTCTTAAAGTGTAATGTTCATTTCTCTCATTTGCCTATAGAAATTTAAAGCGTGTGAAGAAGGGCAACAGGTAGGAGGAGACATTTATGGGTAATGTTCTCTTTCTTTCTCCACCTGCTTTTTACATGTTCCTAAACCTTTGGATTACCAGAGATTACCTACAGATTACGAGAGAATGTTCTAGAGTGCTGTGGCATGAGAGCTCCGTCTTATACCAGCCCCAAACCTTGCCGAAGCCACCCACTGGGGCCTGTCTCAAACAGGACTGGACTCTTTTTTTTGTACTGGGGATCAAACTCGGGTCCTTGTGCTTGTGAGGCAGGCGGTGAAACCACTGAGCTAAATCCCCGGCCCCAGGACTGAGCTCTTGAGGGCTTTGTGTACCTGTCTTTGATCTCATCTTCAAATCAAGGCAAGGCAACTGAGTCATAAAGCAAACACAGGGAGATAATACTTTCAAGAGAGAAGACATGTTTGCTGCTGGGCGTGGTGACACAGGCCTGTTATCCCAGTTTCTTGGGTAGTGGAGATGGAGGATCAGAGTTCAAGACCAGCTTGTACAAGTAGGTAAGAACTTGTCTCAGGAAAAAACCAAAAACACCTCCTCCAAGAAAACCTTAAACAAAACCACATTCAGGCATGGTAGCCTGAGTCTATAATCCCAGCTACTCAGGAGGCTGAAGCAGGAGGATCACAAGTATTCAAGGCCAACCTGGGCCAACTTAGCAAGACCTAGTCATGATATGAGAATATATATGAGAATAGGAACGTTCTGGGGATGTAACTCTGTGTTAGAGTATCTGTGGGTTTAATACGCAGTACCAAAAAAAACCCCCAAACCCCCAAATTTCTACTTACTTAAATATTGGTGTTTTGGTGAGATTAGGTTTTGCTATTATAGCCCAGGTTGGCCTCAAACTCATAACCTTCCTGCCTTAGCCTCCTGAGTGCTGGGATTACAGAGATGTGCCACTAGGCCTATGCCAATCAGGTCAGTTTCAGTGGCATAATTTCTCATTTAATCCTTCCAAAGAGTGACCTGAAGTTAATCCATTATCTTCCTATTATTCCGTCTCCCTGTCCCTGCCTTACAAGGAGAGTGACTTTGAAATGATCAAAACACTTGTTATTTGTCCTCTGCTCAGCCCCTTGGAATCATTTATTCACTTTTATGGAATGAAGTGTTGCCTGCCTCTGGAATTGCAAATGAAGCCAACTAAATGTGTTGTAATTTTGTCTTTTAACAGTGTTAAACTGAAACTCCTAAGACTGGGAGATTAAAATAAAAGGATTTATCGAACCATTATGAAAACAAAGGACCAGGTTCCAAGACATGTTCCTGCAACTAGCAGCAGCAGGGTTGGGTAGCAGTTGGAAAATGTCCAACTGGACCTAGAGTGATGAATATTTCTATAAACTTTGGGGAAGGAAGGCACTGTTTATATAGAACCTACACGGGCTGTGTCTAACAGGGGCAGGACTATGTGAAATGGGGAAAGCTCTGGGATTGGAATGTAGTACATAAGAAGTAACTCACTTCAGGACTGGCTGGGGTCAATGGTCCCAAAAGCTAGTCTGTCACTTACTAAGGCTTCTTGTACAAACCTCTTTTCCTTGTCTACCTCATCACTACACTGGGAATAATATGCCTCACAGTGCGTTTGTGAGGGTGAGTAACATAGTATGCATGTGAAATCATTAGCATGGTGCTAATACCCAGGTAAGCACTCTTGACTCTTGAGTATCATTGGCATTCAGGCATACCAGTTTCAGATGCTTAAGACATCTCCTTAGGTCACAGGCAAATAAACTGTGGAAAAACAAATGAAGTCTCTGAAACAGTATCAAAATGTGACCTGGTTGTGGTGGTACACGCCTGTAATCCTGGTACTCTGGGAGGCGGAGACAGGAGGATTTCAAGTTTGAGCTTAGCTTAGGCAATTTAGCAACTTAGCAAGATCTTGTCTCAAAATAAAACAGAAAGGGCTGGGATGTAGTAGTTCATTGTGAAGGCCCAGGGTTCAACCCCCAGTACTGACTTCCCCCCCTCCCAAGTACTCCTGTGGAACAAATGCTCATTGCCCACTTCTGACTCACCATGAAAACATCTTTTTTTTCCTTTGTGATGCTGTGGATGGAGGGCCTTGCATGTGCCAGGCAAGCACTCACTAGCTGCATCCCAACCCCACACATTCTATTTTTGCTTTTTGAGAAGAGTTTCACTATGCAGCCTAGGCTAACCTGAACTGTTTCCTGGCTTTAGTCTCCCAGGTGCTGGGATTATAGGTATATGCCACCACACCCAGCTCACACATAGTATTTTGCAGCCAGCATTTTAAGACATTTGAAATTCTGTCAAGGATGCTGCACCAGAAGCACCCTTTATAATTCTCTCCATGCGTCTCTCTCTTAGCTTTGGGACAGCACTGAGTCTGTCGTGGGAAAGTGGATATAGCTAGTGTTTATTGAAATGATCATTAACTGGCTTAAATGCTAGAAATTTAAGATATGTAAACAGTCATACTGTTTGAACATCAAAGGACTTTCAAGTGCTTCTAAGTGGCTACAACTGGCATTGCAAACACAGCCGCAATGCACTAGACTAGGAAACATGAGACACAGTTATTTGTGAAATGAGAGAGGACAAGATCAAACATCTTTTTTGAGACAGGGTCACCTTATGTAGTCCAGGCTGCCCTTGAACTCACTGTGTAGTCCAAGATGGTTTTGAACTGGAAGTGATCCCCCTGCATCAGCCTCCAAGTGCTGGGATTATAGGTGTGCGCCATCATTCCTGCCATGATCAGGGATTCTTAAAGCGGAGTATATGAGTCATAGATGGCTTCAGGTCTTTGGTTTCTGTGAGGCCATAAATTAAATTTTGCATATAGGCATATTTTTCTGGCAGAATAGCTTTACTAAGATTTTTAAAAGTCCAGAATTCCTCTTACAGTCATGATATATCAACTTGGCTGGATTAAGGAATGCCCAGGGGATTAGGAAAACATACTTCTGGGTGTATGTGGGTTGGTTTTGGTTATGGATGCCTGACTTTGGGGGTCTATTTGTGGTTTCGCACCTGTTCCTCTCGGGCACTGTTCAGGGCCCTGCTCTGCTTCCCAGCCACCATGAACTTAAGCTTCTTTGCTCTGCCACACCCTTCTGCTATGATGTTTCTGCCTTAGAACCAGGAGACCATGAACTGAATCACTTGAAACTGAGAGCCAAATTAAACTTGTCCTTAAATTGCTGGCATTGGGTATTATATCTCAGCGATGGGAAAGCTAATAGAATTTCCATGTTTTTAAAAAATTACAGACTATATTATTATGAATACAGTTCCAAACAAAAGCAATGCCCCAGTTCCTTATGGGGTCTAACTTGGATGGTTGTGTTGACTTCATTTGTTTTTCAAAGCCATGATCAAGTCCTCCCTCTACATTACCCATTCATTCCCCAACAAAATATGCCCAAATTATGCAAAATTCTTCATCTTGTACAAATAAGACTATTTTTCCTCAGACAGTATAATTTAACTTGTTTTAATGTAATTTGCTATAAAAATGAAGGAAGATTTCTGCATGGTACATTTGACTTTACAAATGTTAAGGACTAGTTAATGCTTATGTTATATGTTGCACATCATTAAAATCTGTTGACCAGTAACAGCTTTTTCAACATGGATTAATACCAAAATTGTGAACTGTGGAACTTTTAGCACACACACACACAATCTATAGAAAACTTAAATACTAAGCTATAATACCTAACTAAATTATTGGATCCACTGGAGGATTGTGCTTATTTATCTCAGAAGATAGGCAACTAGCAAAAATACACATTTATTTTGCATACCCCACCCCCATATTACATTGCAAAAGAAATACATTATTCAGTGCACTTCCTAAGAAATAAAACTTCCTTAAAGTATCTCTCTCTCTCTATCGTATTCCAAAACAAAGGAAGAGCACAATGCAACTTTTAAGATTACCACTTAAAGCAAGAGAGGTAATAGTACTCTGGCACTGTAGTCTCCCTCGTGTTTAGAAGGTTCAGAAATTTTATCAACACTATTCATTTTGGCTATGCAATGGGAATAAAGTTCAATGCATGATTGCTTTGGACAGTTTAAGATACCTCCTACATCATTTTGTTAACACTTTGGGCACCAGTACCATTTAAATTTTTGCCTTTAATCAAATTATAAGCTAGAGTCCTTAGTATATTCCCATGTGATTTATACATTAATTTCTATTACCCACCTTTCCCTCATCAACCCATATTGGATTAAAAGGAAACAAGACTATAGCAGCTCAGGAGCTGCTGGATAGATGATGGTTAGGGGAATGTGTATGTAAAGACACCAAGGCCTCTCCTTATGGATGAAAAATCTATAACCATATAACCACCACATCTGAGTTGGGTGATGAGAGCCCTGGTTGGAAGAGTGGGCTAGTCATATTCCATGGACTTGATCACATACACTACACAGCTGGAAAGTCTGGCCGGTTTCTGTCTATACAAATACAGTGATTGAAATGATGGCTTCTAGAATGAAAGAAGCTGCAATTTGGCAGCTTGCAAACTAAACCCAGCTGAAGTGTTAAAATTTTTTGTTTGAATTAGTTCTTGATATTTAAAAAGTGAGAATGTTTCTCATGAAAATTTGGGTATCATAAAAACTTGAAGAGTTGGTAGCCCTGGTCTACCATTCGTGTACAGCAGGAGGCAGCTGGAGCAGAATAGGGTGGCCCTTTTAAAAGGGACTGGGTGCTTCAGACTGCTACAGCTCCCGCCCCTCTAAGTTATTTGACCCCACTTGAGGGAGCAATCTGTTTCACTCTGACCAGTTGAGTTTTGTGCCAGTAGGGTTAGTTTAGCTGTGCCTTTTTAAGATGCTGAAGACTTGGGCTTCCTTTGGAACTTTCCCACTTCCTCATGGACAAGAGTCCTCCTTTGACTGACTGGGTCCCAGACATATCTAGTTGCTTTGGTAGGTAATCTTAATGTGCAGTACTACTTGTCCTTTATGCTATATTGCAAACTCCAAAGATATAATCACACTAATAGTTATGTGTTTAAGTAAATGTTAAACACATAAAGGGGTATGTATCTATACAGATATATGTATACTGCCAATTAGGCAAAAGTTAATTTGGTTCCACAGATACTGACAAGTGCTGGCAGCTTGGAGAATAAATGTAACAATCTGATAAAACTTGTATAATTCTGACTGATAATATCACAAAGAGTCAATTTTAAGTTATTGCTTTTTGATTACAGATTTCATTCTGCTGCAAAACTTATACAGAATGAGCAATCATTTCCTATTCAAGTAAAAGCAATCAGAATCAGAAGTTCCTTTCACAACAGTAGATGCTTGAAAACAGTTTTGAATGGAGATGTGATTTCATTCTGCAGGGAACTAGGAGTGACTTAATTTTTTAAAAGTACAAAAAAATCAGCACCCCAATTGCTTAGTGCTCAAGAGTGTTTCTCAAGGGCTCTATAAAGCTCAGCTTTATGGAAGATTCATACCCAATGTAAGAAGGATTCCCATTCTATTCATGTAGCCTTGTTTCAGAACACAAAGCATGTATTAAAAACAGTAAAAGAGGATTAGAAGCAGTATCGGCTTTTAACATTCAGAATTCACATAGGATCTCATTTTCTGTGATTATCGATCCATTTTTTGTTTTGCAGAATCACATTCACATGGCGGTCTTATTTCAGGCACTTTTAAAACACGTTCATCTGGAATAAAAATCTGCATGAAATACTTCTGCATTATTCAAAGTGAGTGTTGATTAATTCTAGTCCCAAAATAGCAGATGACCACCTGGTACTCAATTAGCTTTCTCCATCACAAGACAGTGACTGCTGAGCTTCAAATGTCTTTGAGGTGCCCTTCTAGATTCAGTACAAAGATGTGAGCCATAAAAACCCAAACACTCAGTTTCTACTTAAAAAAATACAAAAAGGTAGAATACACTAAATGTATTATACAGATGGTTGCAGCTACTATTAAAATAAATAACATAATCTGACTCAATGGTCTCATTCTGAGCTCTTGGACAAAACTGGATGGAATGTCAAGTGTGGAGACTCACTCCTAGGAACTAGCTGCCAGTAGGCAAAAGTATATCAACGTCCTTGCCATTGGCTACCACAGCGTTGGAAGAGCAGCTGCTGGCAAGGTCTTCTGAGTTGGTCAGAGAGGATGCTTGGGAATGAGTTTTGGTCAGTGGAGTGGTAGCAGATGAAGAAGGGGTGAGGCCAGGTTTTTTCGGTGGGATAGGTGGAGGGTTTCCTCTCTCAGCTCTTGGGATGGTAGGGGATTTGATTCCCGGAGACAGGGGGCTCAGAGGACTGGACACTTTCCCCGGAGTAGGTGAGTGGCTGGTGTCGCCTCTTGGGTTGGCAGTGTTGGCCAGATTTCGATAGTCTGTGCCAAAGGGAGAGCTGTTGGGAGAGACAGGCTTGATTGGCCCTTGGCTAGTGAATCTGGAAAGCACCTGAGTGACTGTGTTTCGGGCCAGCTGCTTGGCAGCAGAGTTGTCTAAGAGGGTGGGGGACAGATCCCTGGACGGAGGGCTCTGGAGACCACTGGCCTGTTGGTCCTGATCTGCTTGGGACTGAAATTTGTGCCGAGCTGCATGGAACCGCTGGTTGATCCCTACCTGGTAGGATGACTGGTAGCCGGGGCTGCTAGCTGATGACCCCAATAAGCGCTTTGTTAGTACTGGTGAAGAGCAAGGAGAGGACGTTAGAGAGGAGGAGGCAGTGCTGCTGGGAGAAGGTGAGCTCCCACTGGAAGGGAGGTGACTAGGCATTGGGACTGGAGTCTCAGTTCCCACCGGATACCCCCCATTCTCCACTGGTTTCTCTTGAGCCAATGCCACAGATTTCTCTTGTGGAGGCACTTGATTTTCTACACTGCTGCCTGGAATCAACTCCCTGGTCGTTTGCATCTCTGGGTCACAATGGCCATTGGTTTTTGCATATGAGTAAGTAGGAGCGGTGGGACCAGGCATCCCAGTGTTTGTCACCTTGGCTATGTTGCTTCCATGGATTCTTTCTGCCAGAACACTCTCTGTTTGGCAAAATACAGACACTAGCATGGGAGGCTCAGTTGCCGTGCCTCTGGACGTGGTTACTGGTTTCTTGAGTTGGTCATCAGTGCTACTATGCTGGTGGGAAGCCTCTAGATTCTTCACTATCTTCTTCAAATTTTCCATCTCTTCTTTCAGAGTTTTCGTCCGGTTCTCTTCTCGGTTCAGTTTTGCTCTCAGTTGTTCCCTTTCGATGTCAAACTCAGACAACTGCTTTTCTACCTGGGCCTCAGTCTGCAGGCCTCGCTTCCTCTCAGCTGCCAACTCTTCCTCCAGTTTACTCACCCGGCTCTTCTCCTTCTCCAGTTTCAGGCTCAGCTCCCCTGCCTTCTGCCCTTCCTCGGCTGCCTTACTGGTGGCTTTCTTGCACTCAAGCACCAGCATGGATGAGAGCTGCTTGTGGCGGGAGCGCTCCTCTTCCAGCTGACTAGAGAGCTTCTTTTGCTCTTTTTCAAACTTCTTCACTTGGGACTTTTCAAATTCCAACTAGAAAAAAATGTCACCACATATCTTGATTAGATTAACAAAACATAATGAAAAATTACGATCAAGTAGAGTATCCTAGCTAGTTGTTCTCTGCTACATGGGATTATTATGTATGCCATGGGACTTGGATTAGTATTTGTTTTCTTTTTTGCATTGCTGGGCATTGAACCCAGGGGCTTGCACATGCTAGCAAGTTGCTATCATTGAATTACAACCCAGCTCAGTATTTCTGAATAATCAGAACACAACACAAAAATGGCACAAACAGTACTTAATCTTTCTTTGATGATTTAGGAGGCACTTCTAGTTCTTAATGGTCTCAGGGTTACCAGTTGGGAATGTGATGCATCATTGTGTTTTAGGTATGTGGAAAGTACACAGAACCAATCAAATCAACAGAAAACCATAAAAGCCAGATTTTGCGGTGAATGCTGCTCAAAACAAAACCTTAAGTTTCAGTAATAATCTTCTCTGGTCTTAAAGATGAACAAACATAAACAGCCACACTTGAATTACACTCTTTACATAAATATAGTCCTTTTTGTCTTCCATCCCTATTTACTGCACATAGACTGTAAATGAAAGGGTTGAAGAAACATTTTTAGGCAGTGTTTTTCATACTGTGAGACCTATTAATGGATGAGGAAACCAATTTAGCCATGACCAGAACTGTGTGTGTGCATGTGTGCAGAGAGAGGCAGAGAGAGAGAGAGAGAGAGAGAGAGAGAGAGAGAGAGAGAGAGAGAGAGAAAGACTGTCTGTGTGTACTATAGGCAGTAAGGGCTGTTTCATTTCCTGGGTGAGATTTTGGTTTCAGCCATGTGTGTATGTGTGTACATACTATTGGGTCCTAAGTGGAAATAAAGTGTGCAAGCTACTGCTCTAAATTAGTGTTTCCCAAACCGTGTTCTACAGAATTATAACCCCATAATGAGTGATCCACATCCAAAAAACTATAAAAACAGGTTTGTTAGACATGGAATACTCGTCTTGTTCTTGCAGATTCACATTATTTTGGATACTAAAGGTTCTAACAAATTTAAACTCAGAAACTTTCCATTTAACATTGTTTAATCCAGTAGTTCCCAGGCTTGTCTGACCACAAAGCCATTTTTTGAGCAACTCCAATTTATATCCTGCAGGATAACCCCCAAGAAATTCAACTGGAGGCACATCCTGCTGTGATTTTCTCTAGCTTAATTACCTGTTGAGTCAGCCTCTCTCTCTCCTTCTCTAGCATGTAGGTGACATCATCTCCTTCAGCTGTATCCTGGGCATGCCTCTGTCTTTCTTCCTCAAGGTCTAGTATCACCTTTAAAGAATTTTAAAAACTCATTTCCAAGTATCAAGGAATCATACTTACAATACCAAATGCCTAACTGAACACTAAACACAGTTTCAGAGATTAAATAAATAAAACCCAGCCAGGGCAATCAAAGAGCATACTGTCAAGTGGGGTGAAAGACATGTAAGCTATGTACTAGAAATCAAGTTATTTACTTTGCTTGAGGTAGGCACAGAATGGTATGTGAACAGAGAGGAGTAATTAATTAGCTGTAGAGACTGAGAAGGTTTCAGAGAATTGGCAGAACACCTGGGGAACTGTAGGCTATCTGGTGTGAACAGGGATCAGATGTAGGTGACAGAGCAAAACAGGATCACAGAAAACTAAAACTCAATGCTCAGATCACTAGAAGCACCAGAAGGAGCCTGAAATTAAATAGATAACATCCTAATTGTTCCTTGCTTTTCATTAATAATACATATTTGTTTTTAGTTACTTAAGTATACAGAAGACTCTTGACTTTATCCTGCCTGTAAAAAAGCCCAATTACTAGGACTTTAAGTGGAGATTTTCCCCAAGGCCTTGTAGTTAACCTGCCTATCTCTACCCCACTTATCCTGGTGCCAAAAGATGAGGCCTAATTTTAAGGAAAATAGAAACTTAAAGGGACATTTTCCATATAACCTTACCTGTAAGAGCACAATATTCTGAGTGGCAGTGGGTTACTCAGCAACATCTGCTCATGCTTTGGATGTGCCTTGCCCCAGATCTCCAGGGAAAGAGCATAGTTATCCCAATAGCAATTTCTCATGATTTTTCCTCATAAAAATTTTTTATGAATGAAGAGAAAATTTTGGGGGATATGAAACTCTTTTAAAAATAAATGTAACATTTTGACGTACTGCCTTCTGATTTAAAAAATGTTAAAAATTAAATTTAATAGGCTTTTGGCTAATGGTAGTAAGTCATCTCTCTGAAGAGCTCTCTAAAATTACAGAAATGGAATGAAAAGACAGACTTTCGCAGACAAAAAAATTTACTAATATCTCAAAGAAGGAAAGAGGCAGGAGTAGTAACTACTTTAATATAGGAAAGGGAGCCATTTCATCCTTGCAGGGCCCCAAAGAATGCCATGTGGAGGTGGAAGGTGCTTCAGAGAGGTGAGATGTGGCATAGAATGCAGGGAGGCTGCCTCAAAGTCTGTGTTTACAGGACAGTAATTTGTTCCCTCACCCTGATTCCTATACACTGAAAGTTAGCAGGCAGGCACCTACTCCACAGGCCTGATGCTCACCCTCTAAAGAGAATGAGACAAATTCGGGATTTGGGAATAGCAGCTATAACAGAGAAAAAAGAGGTTGGGGATAGCTCAGTGGTAGAGCACTTATCCAATATGTACGAGGTTCAATCCCCAGCACTGGAAACAAACAAGCAAACAAAAAAAACTGCCTAGATAATGAGGGATGGGGAAGAAAAGGAAGGGAGGTGCTAAGTAAATCTGCATCTATCATAAAAGGAAGTAATACAATTATCTAGGTTTTCTCAAGCAAGAGAAAGCGGTATCTTATTTGGAGACACAGAGGTTAGCAACCAGTATACTTGGTTAAAATGTGAAAGGCGTTGCCTGAGTACTGAGGAGGATAGGGAATGAGAAGAGGTGGAATAAGGAGCTCTATTTTTTGTTATAAGCAGGGGAATCAGAACATTTCTGAGAGCCAAACGTGTTACTGTTAATAACTAGTTATTAATGTCAGGCATAAACTGGGCCTTCGAGCACCTTGGACCCTTATTATAAACCTTTAGGTATTCTTTGACTTCTAACAAAGTCAGTGTTCTACTTTGATAAGACATCTAAGAATAGACAGGGCCTAGGTTTCTAAACATTAACATGCAAAATATTTTATATTGAATTATTAAGGAATTCTGAATTGTTTTTCACTTGCCCTTGTAACCAAGAGCTGCCAACTGTCCCAATACACCTTCCATGGCATGACAACTAGCCAGCTCCTCCAGCACAATTCAATTGCCTCATGCATAAATCAGAAATAAGGCTTGTCAATCCCTCAAGGATGTAGTGAAATTTTTCTTAGAGAATTATGTAAAAGTCCTCCAAATTTAGGGAACTTACTCCAACCCACTGACAACTTTTAAATTGGGGCATAAATGTTTTCAGATTATTTTATTCTAGAGCAGAGGTTAAAACTTTTTTTAGGTCTTTAGGCAGCTTTGAGAATTTAATTTCAGCTATGGGAAAAATACATCTTCAATAAAAATGCACAAGCCTTTGACATTTTGTATATTTTCTGGGGATTGTGGAACATTTGAGGCCCAACCATGGCTAACTTTCATTTAGACCAGTGATGGTGAACCTTTTAGAGCTTTCAATGATACAAACAGCACATTACAGCACGTGTGCCATAGGTTCGCCACCACTGATTTAGACTGTGAAGGGTAAGAAAAAATCACAGGCAAGACTCAGCGCAGAGGCAATTTATCAGATGTGCTTTAAACAGATGGTTCTATTGCAGATAATCATAAAAGTAGACTAAAGTCTACCAAATTTTCCAGCTGTTAGTCTAAATTTTTTTTTTTTATTAAAATGCTTCCTACAAAATGCACTGATACCCCCTTTGTTGGTATAAATCCACACTGAGACGTTTTTAAAAAAATGCAGATTCCAACCAAACATCTTTTATAGGCCAAATGTGAGCAGTAAATGACAAGCTGGGGAATAAATTCACAAGCACCAGAATTCCTATAAGATGAGACAGAGGAAAGGTTCCTAACTTAGGAGCTGTCAGAATGGAAACCACTCCTAATGGGGTAGAAGAGCTTTAAGGTAAACAACTATAGGGACTGCTTCCGGTTTCATGAGCAATAAAATGCAATGAAACTCAAAGTAGGAATAAATGAAAATAATCTATTAGTTTGTATGTTTACGGTCAGGTAAATTCCTCTTTCTCTCCATGGGATATAGCTTTTCCTAAAAATTTATTCATCTTTCTATTTATCACTTAAGCAAATAAAGAACCCTCTGTTCAGCCCAAGTTGGTTAAATTCGTTTTTTGCCAAAGTTTGGATGATCAGAGTTAAACAATAGCAAGTGTTCTGGAGTGACATATCAAGATGGAATTTTATCTTAATGTGTCTGGCACATTCTCTAAATTTAACATTTGGAATAATCTGCATTTTCTTTTGTATCTCCTGGCTCCTAGGTGAGCTAAGGAGCTTTTTGTTACCTATGAGCCTCTGTAGTTGAATCACTGTGAAAACCGGCAGCTGACAAGAAAGTGTCAGGCAACACTCAGTCTTCACAAGGTGCAGGCAGCATACACTGACTGGGCCCAGCCTACCTTTCGGTGCCTGCTCTCAGCAGCAGCCAGCTGGGACAGCATGCGTTCCTGCATGTTCTTGCACTGTTTCATCACCACCTTAAGAATCGACAGTGGATTTGTGCAGACCGGCTGCTTTTCACCATCATTTTTCTCTTTCAGTGTTTCAAAATCTCTCTGTAGAGCCATTAAAGGATCACTAATGTTATATTTTCCATAGCGTTCTTCAATGAAAGTATCTCTGTGTTGGGCCTGGGAAAGAGAAAAAAATAAGTATTTCGCTTTTTAAAATTACTGAGGAGTGGAATTTGCTGTCTAGTAGTTGTAATTAGAGGCAGCAGTGTTAGTGTAAATGTAATCTGCTGACTATAAACTGGATTGAGTCATCCCAACACAGAAACAACACCAGAAAGGTAGCATGGTATAATATTAACAAGCACAATTACTTATATGAAACTAGGCATTAGATACTGTTTTAAGCATTTAGTCATATTAACTTAATTTTTATAGCCCTGTCAGGTAGAGCTAATCATCTCCACTTTGCAGATGAGAAAACTAACACAGAAGTTAAGTAACTTGTTCCAGATTACTTATCTAGCAAACTTGGAATTAAACCCAGGCAGCCTGGCTCCAAAGCCTGTGTCCTTAACTACTATGCTAACTGCCTCTACTTATATCTTCTATTACCAGCAGTTGTGTCTTACCTTTTCTTTCTGTGTTATGACATTTGTATTTATAAAATGTTAAGCATGACAATTTTATGAGTTTACATACTTAACAAGGTACTAGCAGATATAGAAAGAATGCTAAAAATAAGTATGATCACATTATAACCTAGGACAATCTGTGGTTTGAGGATATGGAACTTGACTGTTGAAGGTTCAACAGGGTGAAGGCACTCATGACCAGTGGGCCAGACAAAATTCCTGCTACCTGCAGCCAAATTCCACTCCCTCTTTGAGTTTCCATTCAAATGCTATCTTCCATCCTCCTTTCTGCCTCCTTCAGGGTGTGGTGAGCTTTGGGAGTGAGAGACAGTGAGAGGGGACACAGCCTGGTATTTGGGCTCTGGTTCAGGGGCTTGAGCCAAGTCAGGGGTCCGAGGAGCAGGAGGTGGCTGGAAAGAGGTTCTTTCCTCATTTCTCATCTCTGCTAGGAAGAACTTAAAATACCCTACTACTTCATATGACCACTACATAGTATAGGCAGGTTAAGTGAGTGACACTAATGATTATCACACAGACACTGAGAAGTTTCTTGAGATATTTTACAACAACAACAAAAAAGGCATTAACACAGGGTCGAGAAAATGCTCAAAAATCACAGCAAAGTACTATATCATTTAAGCTTTCAAGCTAAATCTGGTTATGAAAACTACTGTCATTTATCCATTTTTAAGACTAATTTCAACAGTTATGTTTTCTGACACTCACAAGTAGGAGTCTATTAAAAGCTGAGTGTGGAAAAGTTAGGGGGGATTAAAAATTCAGTGGCTATATTTTAATTTAAAAGAGCCCTTAAGACAAAAAAATAAAGAAACACAGGGCTTAACACAGAATCATGATTTAGTGCTAAGCATCTGATGCCCTCTGTGTTAACTGATCAACTTGATGACTCAGAGATCGCTTAGTCTTCTGTACAGATCTGTTCAAAGCAGAGTTAGAATCCTGGGCTTTACTTCTGGTTTCACTACAATCATCTGAGTTTCGACATTATTGGAGTATTTGGATGATGTCTGTGTAGTAGAAATATAAACAAACTTGTTAGTTTCTTTTTTGTGTGTGTGTGCTGGGGATCAAACCCAGGGCCTTGTATATACTAGGCAAGTATTCAATCACTGAGCTAAAGCTTCAGTACCTGTTTTTTCTTTAAGTTACTAATAAACCACCTTTCCAACCTTATTATGAGAGAGAGAGAGAAATGAGAATGAGAATTAAAGTGAGAAGACAGAAAGAAGTGAGTAGAAGACAGAAAGAGTCCAAAACAGAATTCTATTTTTTGGGGGTCTAAATTAAAAGGGAAATTATCATTAAAATTTCAGAATAGCCTCTAGTCCATTTAGGATGAAGGAAAAAAGGATCAAATCCTGAGCCATTTTTATTATCAACGTTATATCACTGTGAAAGCAAAATTAAAAAGCTAGTTAATTTTCAACAGCCGGGTGTAGTGGTGCATGCCTATAATCCCAGCACTCGAGAGGCTGAGGCAGGAGGATCACCATGAGTTCAAGGCTAGCCTGGGTTACATAGTGAGTTCAGGGCCAGCCTGAACTACAGAGTGAGACCCAGTCTCAAAAAAAAAAGGGCCAGTGATTTAACTCAGTGGTTCTGTCGCCTGCCATGCAAGCGCAAGGTCCCAAGTTCGATCCCTGGTACAAAAAAAAAAAAAAAAGTCGATTTTTAAAAGGAGTAATGTCAAATAACAATGTATTCCTTTCATTAGGAACAACTGTTCCTTTAAATTCAGGTATTAAAAATATGAGATTGATAACCTAAGATTCAATGAAAATATCTACTTGTAGCTATTAATATCCTAAAACAAATCCATATTTAGAAGAAAATGGCTTTGACAAAGCAGGAGAAAAGTGTAAAAGCAGTTGAAATACCACTTTACTGTCACATTTCTTATTTATAATAACTATTTCTGTAAGGTAAATATTGGTAAAGGAATCATTACTGGTACTGAAATTGGTTTAGCAGGAAAAAAGGAAATAGAAAAAGTAAACCTAAAAAAAAAGAAAAAAGAAAAAGTAAACCTGAGTTTTTGGTTTTTTAAAAAATGACCCTTCCTTTTTAGAACACCCTGAAGAAAGCAGGGTGGGAGGCAGACGCTGGGTCTACAATTCATGACCTTGACATTGGATCTGCTGAGAAGTCATCTCCTGACTTTGAGTATATAGTTGACTAATCCTAAAAATATGACTTTAAAACCCACACTATGATTATCCTGTATAATTAATAAGCATCAGAGTTATAAATAATAGATAAGGAGCTTCTTCAGTTGTTAGGCTGCCTGTTTTCTCTTGAAGTACTTCACAGTAATTCTAGTCACTTGCACAGTAATTACAAGTTATACAAAATAGACGGTTTCACCTGTGGATGAAAAGGATCTGTGGGATAATTTTTAAAAGGTTTCTGTCACACACCAATTCTTTTAAGAACATTCTAATATGGGGCCGAATATAGGGAAAGTGAATTCGAAGTCTGTATTTTTTATATCAAACACTTGGAAAACAGAAGATGAAATGTAGATGTATTTTTCATCCAACTTAATGATTTAGTCATGTCATCTGTAGGGATTACAGATTTAACGAACTTGTTAATGCAAATAATAACAGTAATCGAAACCAGATGTCAAAATTTGAAGAACGCAAAGCACTTTAGTGGAGGTATGTATTGGTTATCTATTACTGCATAGCAAATCACCCCCAAATAGCTTAAATAATAAACATTTTTATCTCATATGGTTTCTGACAGTCAGAAGAGGGCTAGCCGGGTAGTTCTGGCTCAGGGTTTCATGAGGCTGTAGGGATGTGAAGCCAAGACTGGGGCTGGAGATCTGATTCCAAGCTTACTCACAGGGCTGTTGGCATAGACCTCAATTCCTCGCAGGTGCCAGCTTCCCGCGGAGCAAATACTCAAGAGACAAAGGGAGAGAGCAAGCACACAAGCAACCAGGACAGGGATCTCGTGACTTTTACAATTTAATGTTGGAAGTAACGTCACCATTGTGACGTGTTCTCCTGCCGATACAGACCAACCTCAGTACGCATGGGAACAGACTACACAAAGGTGTGAATGTTCTAGGGCAGGGATCCCTGGGAGCTTTCTTGAGCTGCCCACAAGGCAAGTGACTAGACATGTTACCAGTAACATTTATTTATCAGGTAGTAATTTAAAAACCTATACTCAAAGCTATCAAGGCTGAGTTTTAATACTTTAATGGTATTCCAGCTGTTTCATAAGAAATTTTATATGAGCATGGAGAGAGTTTAGTAATAAAGCTAAAAGCAATGAATTTCTTGCAATTTTACTATTTTTACATCAATCACAGTATATGCTAACTGAGCTAAGATGCCTACACTGTCAGAAAACATGATGGTCTTTAATTTCAGAGAACAGGAAAACAAATGGCTGGCTAGACAGATTCAATAATATTGTCATAGCAGACAAAACACACTAGTCATCTATTACTCATTATTTTTGCTGTCACAGGCTGAATGAACATATTACTACCAGAAGCTTAAAATAAAACTACATAATATTCTTGAAATCTCGCATACGTGCTCTCCAAAAGTCTCAGCTGTGTTATTATTAATTTAAAAAAGAAATACAGTTACCTCTTCCCTCTTTCCCAATATAATGTGTGTATGGATGGTGAACACATTAGTATATTTCGATTTTAAAGTAAGATGCCAATCTCTTTTTGTTCTTTATATAATCATCACCCACATGGAAAGTATTTCCACTTTATTGGGGGCTTATATTAAGCTACAAGGTTCAATCCCCAGCACAGCAAAAACAAACAAACAAAAAATCTAAAATCCCCAACTCTGTTACCAAGGTTAGATGAGATCAGGTGCATTCAGGGTGGTATGGCTGCAGACAGTTACCACGGTTAGACAACCAAAATGTCACTGGAGAAGCCTGGGAAAACATTCTGGATACAAGGATGTTCATGGGTGGACATGACTTTTATTAAATACTTAATGTTTGTTGGGTAGTACATAGGCTAAGCGACAGGTGATATGGGACTAAGATGTAGTCCCCTCTCCTCAAGGAGCTTACAATGTGCCAGACAAGTATAGGCATAATAGCAGTAATAAACAACAACCTCTAATTGTTAAATGCTTCTTAAATTATATCATTAGTGTTTAGAGGAACACCAAATACAATTTATTTGATCAGAACTTTCTAAGACTCAAACTTTATACTCAAAAGAAATAGGAAGGACAAGGCAAACCTTGGAAGTGGGTGGGTTATGGCAGATAAATGGGACTATCAGCAAGTTAATGAGTCACAGGAAACACCATGAGGCTTGGGGGGGGTGATTAGCCAGAGCTGTCTCTGAAGTACTACATGGAATGGGCTAGACCAGACCGTGTGTGTGATACTTTAACTTAACTCTATAAACTTGAAAACTTCCTTATTACAGATGTACGCAGGCTCTTTAACTTACTATGTATTAACAAAGAGTGTTACTTCAGGGTTAAAAAATATTTATATATTTTTGATACCGGGAATCGACCTCAG